CCCCCCCCCCCCCCCCGCATTGTTACTTTCCCCCAGTGGACTTCTGTTTGAACAGCCTTCCCTACTCCCCCTTTTTCTCTATAAAAGCAGTTCCCCTCCTTTCTTTTCCGCATTTGGCTATGGTTTGCCATAGTATGCAGATCCGGAATTGCAATTCTTCTGTCTATTCCTGAAAAAAACTCATTTTGAGACAAAACAACAGGCAAATTTGCTTTTTTAAGTTGACAAACGTAACAGATTAAATTCAAGGTGGAAGAGAAGTGTCCGATGGATTAGGCAGCATCAAAATTGTTGATAAGCTCGACAAGAGCCATGCCAGTGGCATGGTGGGAGTAGATGGAGTAAGCTGAAGTGAATTTGGAGATGCAGAAGGAGAGAAAGAATATATTTATAACTCTAATGAAGTTTGGCTGGACACAAAACAGAGCAGAAAATGTGAGTGACAAGAGGGAGATGTAATGTTAGGGGATGATTTTGTTTATGTGTTTTTAATATGAGAGATACTGGAGTGTGTTTATAGTGTGATAGGAATGACCTATTAGGAGAGGTAATAACCAAAGACTGAGAAGGCAGAACAGGAAGCAGAGACCAATGAAGAGTGTGGTCACCACAGATAATTCTCAAGCCTGTAAACCCAGCTCAGATTCCTTTTATGAACTGCATTTCTGTATATCCAACTACTTGCCAGCTTTTTGCCCTCTCAGCACCTCACACTCATGTGAATCAGCATTTCTCCCATTGTTACTTGTTTCAATAAATCTTATTATTCACCAAATCATCAATGATCTATCATGTATCCATGATCTCCCTTTACTTGCCACTCATCACTAAATCTTGCCAATTCTACTTCCCAACTACTCTTAAATCTGTCCATTCCCACCAGTTACACTCCAGTCAAGCCACCGTGTCACCTCTCCCCCAAACATAAGGCAATGGCCTCTTAACTCGACTCTGTACTTAGCCTCGCTCTAATCCATTCTCCACTATACAGCTAATCTTGCTTCTAATGAACAGAATTTGGCAGAAGTGATGCCACGTGACATCTGAGGTTAGGGCATAAAAAGAACAGCTTCCACCTCACGTTACCTTGGTTCACTTGCTCTGGGGAAAGGAGCCGTCATTTTGTGAGAACATTCAGGCAGCCTGTGGAGACACCCATGTGAGGAGGAACTCAAACGGCCAGCCATGTGAGTGAGCCACCTTGGAAATGAATCCTCCAACCCCAGTCAAGCCTTCAGATGACTGTGCCCCTGTCTACACCTTGACTGCAATCTCATGAGAGACTCAAGGACCCCCTAGTGCTGCCTCTGGAGGAGCCTTGACTAATGGTTTGCTGTTGGTTTCTTTGCTTCTAGTACAGAAAAAAACAATGTATATCTTGTGTTCCTAAAATGTAATCCTGAATACATATCTTATAGAAACCTTGTTAAAGATGGTGTTCAAGTTCTATAATAGCTTTAAGAACAGTAACTATGCTACCTACACTTTCTTCTGGATAAAATAAGCCTTTGTGGGCTGGTATGAGACTCCAACCATAATACCTAATGTAGTTTCCATTGGAAAATCAGTTCCAAGTTACAAAGAATCAACATAAAATGTGATCGATCCATTCACAGCTGTCATGCCACACAAAAGTTCATTAAGTGTTTCGTAAATGGACTACTAAGTTTCTTGAGTACAAAAATATACTTATATCAATCAGTATAACCTCCATAGTACTAAATATCAGTTGAACACATGTGGATACCTAACAGCTATTTGATTGCGTCTGGGAAAAGTAAGCACTCAGAGCTTTCTCTTATTCAGTTTGCTGACTGACCTACGCAGATGATTTCTGAATCATACGTGGTAATTTGAAGGGCATCTGTTATTTAATCTCAACATTTTCTTTTCAAGGAAACCAAATAATCTAGACCCTAAACCTAAAAGCAATTTAAAGGCTTTTAAATAAATGAACAAAACAACTCTTGCTTTAGCATGTCTATTCAACATTCTAGTAACACAAAAAATTAGCACTACATCTTTAATGTGGTATAGTTTAGGGCTATATCTTACATACCTCACACTAAGTTATACCGTAATCAGGTGATACTGATCTGTGAAACCCTTCTCTTGAGCAGTCATTCGTCAGACTGAAGATTCAAAGTCCCTCCTCTCCATAAGGGATATTTCTTGGGCAACATTTTTGTCCAATAAATAATTATATTGATTAGGAACATTAGGAATGATATAAAATAAGAATATGCACACACGCGCACACACACACACACTCTCTCTCTCTCTCTAAGGGACCTTAACTGTTGATAAGAAATCAATTTTAATGAATTATGTTTGTTATGTACCATGCATCATAATTCAGTCTTCTTTCCCATACAGGCAACTTTCAAAGTAAGAACAAAAGTCGTTTACTTATTTATAACAAATATAAATATATGTAAAGGGAAATAAGGCTTATGGACTAAGTGTCTGTAAATTTTCTTAAAGTACGCCATGATAACATGTGAATATGTTTGCATTTAGTTTTTAGATACTGCAGTACATAGAAATAGAAAAGAGCATAAAACACTGAGTGCTATTTTGTAAAGGCTTGTAATTTATAAGGTAAAAAGAAAAAGATTATCCAAGACTTTGAACATTTATTATTGGAAAAACAATGCGTTTTTCCCTGAGCTGGTTGACAATTTTACCATAGAATGTTTACTAGCCTTAATTTCTAATGTGAAGTTGGGAAAGCTGTGGTACAGAAAGGTTAAACATCTTACTAGCTTCCAAACTCAGGTTAGAGTTTGGCTAGATCAGATATAATAATTTTAACCTTTAAATTTCAATTACATTTTAAAGGAGGGAAATGATTTTCTTATGAGCCATTTAGATTTTGGCAAAAAATGTAAACTGAGTAAAAATTTTCTTTAATATAACTGCTTGAAGACAATAAAATCTCCCAATTACTGCTTTTAAAAATTCCTGTTATGATTACTGGGCACTTTTGGCTTTCAAAAATAGCTATTTATCACTTGGGTGAAAAATTTATTCTCTTGGATTAGCTCTAGTTAGTCCTTGTTATAAAGTAAGAATTGATAGGTGTAATTTTTTGGTCATTTGGAGTCCTATAATAATAAATATTTTCCACCTAAATAGCTTGCTTAGTTGCCTTACCTATAGTATATTTTCTTCATAGTAAATGGCAAACAGCTAAAACACTGCCTGTAGATCCTGTTCTCGTCTGTTTCTAGTTCCAGTCCACATTTTGCACAGCCAGTGTATACGATGTTGGGGAGAGAAGAGAAAATACTCTTCAGAGAGCTGCGAGCGTTTAGAGCTATCTTCTGAGCTGCTGTCGTCGGAAACACGAGCTCTAAAATCTGGGCTTTGATTAGAATCACTCCTATAAAAGACAAACAGAAAAATTATAAGTTATAGGATCAAAATGATAATTTTAATTTACAAACACGGCTCATTATGTAGTCGATTTACAGTTACCCCTGGTGAAGGATACAGCCGACGTCTTGTTCTTGCTCGTCACCTCGTCACTCTTCCCCAGACAATGGGTGAAGATTTCCTTGGCTAAACTGGCTGAGCAGGAGGATATTTTCTTCCTCCCTGTCCTCTGGAATCATGCAAAATAAGTGTAACTCCTCTTTTAAGAGGAATCCCTTCGAACACTTGAAACCAGCTAACAGCTTCTCTCCCTGTCCTCTCTTTCGTCTTTTTAAAGTCATCGTTGTCAAAAGCCAAATAGGAGCTCAGCTATTCTTCTATTCTCTACTTTGTCCAAAAAGAAGAGACCACCAGCTTGTCACCTTTTTAAACCTTTTTTCAGTTTCCAGCCTCTCAGCGTCACGCTCTGGGTGTTGGTCACACAGCCACAGGAGCACTGAGTCCTCATTTACTAAAGGAGACCCACGGGCACCTCGAGCATGCTCTTCCACGACTCACTGGTCATGCGTCCACTCCTTAAACAAATACTGAGTGCCCACTATCTGCCAGACAATCTTTTTTTCTAATTTATCTTTGCCTTGTTGTAGATTAGTGAGGTCTCTGATTATCTGAGCCTTCTTCTCCCTTCCTCTCCACACTCAGTTCAGAGCCTTTCTTGACCCTTTGAATTGGTTCTTCTTCATCCTTTCAGCAGGTAGTACACTCCAGGTCAAGAACTCGTCATTCTGGTGTCCCATTCTCTCTTTTGGTTATCTCTTTGAGAGTCCCATTAATGGTGACTTTCCTATTCCTAACGCCTTCAACTTTCTTCCGTCTTTTAGCGCCCAAAGATTGTTTCGTCATCTCTTCCCAGCACGTCATATATCCCTACGTGAATTACAAGAGTGTATAGCGCTCAGCATACCTAAGATTTAAAAGCTCACTGTGAATGTGGACTCTGCTTTCAAGGGGCTCACAGCCTGCTGGGCACTGATACTCGCTAAACACGTACTTTGGAAAAAAAGAAAAGTCTCAAATCAATGAGCTTAATTTCCACCTTAAGAAATGAGAAAAAGTGAAACCAAAGAAAGCAGAAGAAAGGAAATAATAAACATCAGAACAGAAGTCAATGAAATAAAAAACAGAAAAATAGAGAAAAAGCAATGAAGCCAAAAGGGAGTGATTTGAGATCAATAAAAATTGATAAACCTCTAGCCAAACTGATCAGAAAAGAAAAAAAAGAGAGAAGACACAAATTAGCAATATCAGGTTAAGACCAATATCACTACAGATTCTGCATATATTAAAAAGGAGAACAAGGGAATATTATAACTTTACACCAATAAATTTTTGTTGCTGTTGTGTCAACAACTTAGATGAAATGAACAAATTTCTTGAAAGATACAAATTATCAAAGCTCACTCAAGAACAAGTAGGAACCTGAATAGCCCTCTATCTATTAAAGAAACTCAACTTGTAGTTAAAACCTTCCGATAAAGGAAACTTCACGCCCAGGTGGCTTCACTGAAGAATTCTACCAAACACCTTAAGGAAGAAATCACTCTAGTCCTGAACAAACTCTTTCAGAAAATTGAAGAGGAGGAAATACATCCCAACTCTTTCTATGAGCATTATTCTAACACCAAAAGCAGAAAAAGATATTACAAGAAAAGAAAACGTCAGACAAATACCCCCATGAACACAGACATAAAAATTCTTGACAAATGTTAAGCAAGTCGAATCCAACAATGCATAAAAAGGGTACATCATGACCAAGCGAGGTTTATCCCATAAATGCAAAGTTGGTTTAACATTCAAAAATCAACCATTGTCATTAATTATACTAAAAGATTGGAAAAGAAAAACTGTATGATCATCTCAATAAATGGGAGAAAAAAATCATTTGACAAATTCTAACACCTATTCCTGATTTTAAGATTTTCGGCAAACTAGGAATAGAAGGAAACTTCATCAACCTGATAAAAGACATCTATAAAAAACCCACGTCCAATATCATACTTAATAATAAAAGAATGAATGCTTTCTCCCTACGATCAGGAACAAAGTAAAAATGTCTGCTCTTACAACTTTTTTTCAATATTATATTAGGGGAGCTATCAAGCGCAGGGAGGCAAGAAAAATAAATCAAAGGCATCTGGACTGGAAAGGAAGACGCAAAGCTGTTTTAACTCACAGTTGACACGATCGTCTATGTCGCAAATCGAAGTCTGCTGAACAGTCACTGTTGAGCTTAGTGAGTTTAGCAAGGTCACAAAATACAAGATCAATATACAAAAATCAATTGTATTTCTATATATTAGCAGCAAACAATTGAAACTGAAATTTTAAAAAAACATCATTTATAAGAGAATAAAAAATAGAAAATAGGAATAAATCTGCCAAAAGACAGGAAAGCCCTAATCTCTGAAAACTACAAAACACGGCTGAGAGAAATTAGAGAAGACACAAATAAACATAGAGATATAGCTTGTTCATGGGTTAGCCAACTCAGTATTAAGATGTCAGTTCTCCCCCAGATGGAGCTAAAGCTTCAAGATAATCCCAATAAAATCCCAGCAGGCTGTTTTGCAGAAATTGACAAACTTATTCTAAAATTCATATGGAAACGCAAAGGACCTAGACTAGCCAAAAAAACTCTGAAAAAGAACAGTTGGACGGCCAACAAGACCTGACTTCAAGACTTATAAAGTTACAGTAATCAAAATAGGGTGGTATTGGTGTAAAGACAGACAAATAGCCCAATGAAACAAGAGAAAGTCCAGAAATAGACTACACATACATGGACAACTGATTTTGACAAAGTGCAAAAGCAGTTCACTGGAAAAATAATAATCTTTTCAACAAATGTTGCTTAAACAATTGGATATTCATGCACAAAAAAAAAAAAAAAAAAGAGCTCCAAGCCATACCTCACATCATATACAAAAATTAACTCAAAATAGATCATAAACTGAAATATAAAACCTGAAACTCTAAAACTTCTGGAATAACACACAGGACATAAATTTTGTAAGACTGAGGTTAGGCAAAGGTTTTCTAGATACGACACCAAAAGCACAATTCATACAAGAACAAATGGATAAACTGGACTTCATTAACATTTAAAATTTGTGGTCTTCAAAAGATCTGGTTAAAAGAATGAAAAGATAAGCAACAGACTGGGAGAACAGATTTGCAAACCATATATCCGATAAAGAAATTTTTACCCAGAATATAAAGAACTCTCAAAATTTAGTAAGAAAACAATTAACATGACTTTTTTAAATAGGCAAAAGATTTCAACAGACACGTCACCAAAGCAGATATATGGATGACAATTAAGTACATGAAAAGATGTTTGATCTTTAGCCAATAGGGAAATGCAAAATTAAAACCACAATGACCTATCACTACACACCTATTGGAAGGGATAAAATTCAAAAGAATGTCCATACCAAGCATTGAGGTGGATGTGGAAAAAACAGAACCCTCATACACTGCTGGCAGAAATGTAAAATGATACCACCACTTTGGAAAACAGTTTGGTGGTTTCTTAAAAAGTTAGATATACACCTACCATACAATCCAGTTACTTATTCAACTCCTACGTATGTACTCATGAGAAAAGAAAGACTATATCCATATAATGCCTTCTACATGAATGTTTATAGGAGCTTTATTTATAATAGCCAAGGACTGGAAACAACTCAGATGGCCATCAACAGAAGAACAGATAAACAAATCATGGGGGGCTGGCCCTGTGGCTGAGTGGTTAAGTTCGCGCGCTCCACTGCAGGCGGCCCAGTGTTTCGTTGGTTCGAATCCTGGGCGCGGACATGGCACTGCTCATCAAACCACGCTGAGGCAGCATCCCACATGCCACAACTAGAAGGACCCACAACGAAGAATATACAACTATGTACCGGGGGGCTTTGGGGAGAAAAAGGAAAAAAATAAAAAAACAAAAAACAAAAAAAAACAAATCATGGTATATTCATACAACAGAATAAAAAGGAGTGAACTATTGATATGCACAACGATACAGACACAGCTCAAAAGAATTTGCTAAGTTAAAGATGCCAAACAAAACATGTACTGTATGATTCCATGTATACAAAATCACAGAAAATTCAAACTAAACTCTAGTGATAGAAAGTAGATTGACTGCCAGGAAGTAGGAGAGGCAGGGATGAATGGAATGGAGAGATTACAAAGGGGCAGCCTGGTGATGGATTCATGACTGTGATGAAGGCTCAGTGGGTTTCATGTCAAAACTCAGCAGTGTGAATGTGTGCACTTCAAATAAGGGCAGTTTACTGTATGAAAATTACACCCCAAAATCTCTGTTAAAATTTTTTTTAAATTGGACACAACCACATTTGAAAAGCACTAACTCTGAAATATCCTATGTTTTGCTATATGACACAACTTTTATATTTCTGTGGATGCACCAAAGGGCGGCAGAGCATGCTAGTAGAAAAGGCCCAGAAACACACTTTAGAATCTTAGCACATGATCTCTTAGGAGTTTCAGCTTATTTCATTTTGGATCACAGAATTCTTTTCATTCGAAGAATTGTAAAAACAATCTTATTTCACTTAAACCACATCTAGCATTTAATAAAATCTAAAACCATCTATAAGAATTCAGAAAATTATTCAGGCAAATGGGGAAATAAAGTTAAAATTTAGTATCAAGATCCAAAGCTCCTGAGTTATTCTTAATAACTTAACCTATAAAAGCATCAAAAATGGTGATGTTATACAAATTCTGAGAAACGTTTTGCGACCAAATATTTTCTTTTTCATTAAAAAGTTTAAATTATCTAACAATAAATCCGCAGATACATTTTTTTAAAACCCTTATTTCCCCTCTAAATATATATGCTCTAATAGCCACTGGAAAACTTTCCATGAGTTTCCAAAACCAATAATCACGGACATTTACTAATTACTGGCTTTTAGCAACCTTAAATACAGCATCAAATGATGTTTAATTTGTTCCATCTTCAACTAGGAGTTAGTATCTTTTTAGCAGCGTCTCTGTGGTTAGGAAGAAAATGCAACTGCAACTAAAGCAATTAGTGAAAAGTCCTACCAACATTGTAGCAATTTATCTAGTTATTTTCACTATTTCACTCTCTTTTTGTTCCAAAGGGTATGGCATATTAAACCTAAACACACTCCTGCTACTACTTCACTCAAAATAAATTATTTTAATCATATTTAGTTAATGGAAAGCATGAGTATGTCTATAAAATTCATAATCAAAGGCAATCTTCTACGTGGTATGTTTCTGAGGATGAATTTTATACCCACACACACACACGTGAGTTCAGGAAGTGTGTTATCACGTTTACAAAGCAGTAAGTAAATTTCACAGATTCCAGATCAATGTTAAATACATAGATGACAGCTTAGTAACTTGATGAAATGTCTAACTCAACAGTGACTCTGGTTAGGGTCATTTTTCTATTTCTGATTTATTAAATGATGAGCTGTTGGTAACTATACACCAAAAATATTTTTAAGTGATCTCTAGTAATTATAAATTCACCCCTAAGGATTGTAGGCAAAAAGCTAAGAAGACGTCAATATCTGGTTCAGCTATTTACAAAGATCTGTAAATCTTTTATGTTTGGTTGTACATTTTTCCCACAAATGGTAGCTTCTTTGCTTATATTAAAACTAACAATATCTTACATATATAAAGAGCTTACCTGAACACTTATCCTCCAGGTGTACCGCTAAATCTGACATCTTCACAAAGGAGGACGTGCTTTTTTGAAATTTTGCCTTAAATGTAACCGCCCTTATGTCATCGTCAAACAGGCTCTCACAGGATGACCAAGGCGTTGTGTGCAATTCTAGGTTTTCTAGGACACAATTGCGCTGAACGAAAAGATATTTAAATTCCCAAATATAATCTTAAACAAACAAATAAAAACAAAAAGTCAGCAAAAAGGAAACAATCTAGGCTCAGAATCAGATTAAATAGATTGACCTGATTAAATCAGTTAAAGACAACTTTTATCACACTAAGGAATTTGGGTATAAAGACACAAAATATGAATATTGTATCAAGGCAATAGGATAAGGATGCCAGAGGTAATTTTAACAAAAATTTTTTCTAAACATTTCTTAGTCTCCCAAATAGTCATAATTTATCATAACCAACTGCTTCTCAGAGTAGCACATTCTCGTTTTGATATCCACAAAGATTTTTTCAAAATAATGACACAGAAATGGACACATTTGCCATAATCAATATCTCTCATTGATTTTTCCAACACCTTAGTTTTCTTATTTAGCTAATTTTTCCAGAGCACAAAAAAAGCATTTAAATACAGTTGCACCTCTTTTTAATTCCCTCAGTAGTAATTCTAATTGTTAAAACCACAGTAGCACAGATCTTCTTGCCAAATAATCATATTCTATATTAATAAACTGAAACTTTATCATAAAACAAAAAGAGTTCTCTTAGCACTAAGTTTTCTAATAACAGCTGTCTTTTTAGTTTCCTACTTTGTCAGGCCATAAGGCTAATTCACACACCCCCAGCCACTTCCTTAGTTTCTTTCAATGGATAATTTTTTGTGGAGAATCTTAAAACAAGTCAATAAATCTGTGTAGACACAGCATCATTAGAAAGAACTAAAGCATATATACCCCAGTTGTTGCTTAAACCAATCATTATTTTAAAATAGCTTTCTTGTCTTATTGCACAATACAAGCTTAGAAATCACAGCAGCTAATAAATAAATAGCAGCCATAATCGCAACACCCCAAAATAAACACAGTTAAAGTTTTAGTGGACATTCAGTTTTCAGTTTACTTAATAGGTCAAATATATTTTTACATGTCATCAAGTATTGGTCTACATTATTTTAAAATACTGCATAATATGCCAATATTTTGGCATAGATATACCAAAGTCTTAAAAATTATTATAGCAATCCTCTATTTTGGGGCATATTGGTTTTGTCTTATTTTTCACTATTATATTTTTAGCTACATCTTTATGCACAGGTATGACAATTATGCATAGCCTAGAAGTGTAATTATTAGGCCAAAGATAGTCCAAACGCTAAGGCTCTCATACACATTATAATTGTCCTCAAGAAAGGTTTTGCCAATTTACAATTCCAAGATGAGAGTTTACGAGAGTGGCTGTTTACCTATATGTTCTCTATCAATTTCTCAGGAGGAAAATCATCTGTCATTATTATTTTGTGTGTTTTCAACTACTAACAAGAGTAATTTTTTCATATACTTATTGGAAATTTATCTATTGCCAAATTATCCTTACAGATATTTGTCTTTTGCTTATTGCATTGCTGTTTTACAAAATGCAATATTTTTTTCTGTTTTTTCACTTGCCTTTTAATTTCGTATATGGTGATTTTTATGTGTAGTAGTTTTTGTTGCTACACTTTGTTTAACCTACTAATCTTTGGATTCCACATAAGTTTGCTTATATTTTCTTCTACTAGTCTTGTTTTTTAATATTTGAATCTCTAATGTATCTAGAATTTATTTTGACACAAATATGAAGTATAAATTTAATTCTATTTTTTTCTGAAATTGTTAGCTAGCTATTCCTAACGCTACATACTCTTTTTTTAAAAAAGGAAAAAGTTTTGCTTTTATTATATTTAGACAGGAAAAGATAAGGAAAGTAATAGGTGAAATAAGATTGGCTATGTTTTAATAAGCTGAATAATAGGTACTTCAGTTCATTATATTATTCTCTGTATGTTTGAAGTTTTTCATACTAAAAGTTTTAAAAAATAAATGCATATTTCACACACAAAATTCAAACTAAAGGTATAAAGAAAAAATAAAAAACACATAATACTACCATGTAGAGATAGCCACTGCTGGCATTGTAGCATCATATATCCAGATTTTTAAATGTATATACATACTTAAATCTACTTTTATTAAAATGGAATCCTCTCATTTATGAAGTTTTATGATCTACTTTTTAAACTAAACAAAGCATCACATACATCTCTCCAGGCTAGTGAACACACATATCTTTGACAGTGTGTCCACCCAGCCCACAAGTGACCCTTTGACGTCCTCTTGCCTCTGAAACAAGCTCAGCCATTCCTATCGGTATGTTTCAACCCTGTCCTCCAGGCCACCATTGATTGAATCAAACCCAATTTGGGCAATCAGATTCTCTCTGCTGGAAATTTGGAAATGGGATTGGTCTCTTAAAAGGAAAAGGAAAATTAGGAGCTACAGAGTATCAATCTTCTGCTTTCCGCATGGTTGGGAAGCAGAGAAACTCTGCACTAAGTGAATAATACACAGAGAAGCTGCCTGGGACCCACAACACTCTTCAGCTCCTAGTTCCAAGTTCCTCTGAAATCCATGAGCAGCCTCGCTGATGCACTGAGAGATACTCCTGTATACTTCAAATGCATCCCCTTAATTGTTGGCCAGAGTAGAGTCCTAGTCCTAACTACAAGCCCTCAGTGCCCAAATTCAAACATAAGTCCTTAATACATCCCAGGGCTTGCAAAACCTTCACATGCATGCATTTTTAACTTCGCAACTTTTTTACCTTTTGAAACAAGCAACGTTATTTTCTCCCCAAACTCGGGTCTCTTAGTCCTTAAAGACAGTGGGAATTCTGAACGGTTGCCTGGCCTGTATTTTACTCTTCATTCATTCACTCACTAAGAAAATATCTGCTAGAGCAGGCGCAGTGCTGTGTGATGGGGATACGACGGTGAATGAGCCAGTCAGGGAGCTTGTGTTCACAGAATTTACAATCCACTGAGAAAATCAGTCAATTACCAAGCAAGCAAATAAGCTAGATACTCTCCACTGTGTTAAGCAGTAGGAAGGGAATACAGAGAGAGACCTGACAGGGAGTAATCATGTGTATACATGTGTGAGGCCTCTCTGAGAAGATGAAATTGGAGCTGAGAGATGAAGGAGCTATCCACTGGGAGAGGTGGAGGGAAAAGTACTCTAGGCGGAGGAAATGCAAATTCAAGATCCCAAGGCAGGAAAAAGACTGGTATGTTGAAGTAACAGAACAGAGTTGTGTGCAGGTTAGCCCAGGAAGCCTGAGGGGTACTGATACTGAGACAATTTGTGACACATTTCTATATTGGAGTCATGAACTAAGACTGGGAATGGATTTCAAACCTTCATGCAGATGTAACTATGATTGCACATGAAGCATAATCACAAATGTCAGGAGCATTTGCCTCACTCTGCGCTTAATTAGTAATGTCGTGAGAGTACTTTGTTATAACTTATTATATTTTTAAAATATTAGACTTCTCTTAAATAATTTCAGGACGACATTACATCGGAATGGCATTTAGTTCTGAATACCTTATTTTATGCGTATCCAATTATTACTAAGAAGTGTAATTTATGTCTCTAGTCCACCCTCGTTAGGACCTGAACTGTGACCAATATGTGTACGTCTGAGGCATCCCAAATTCCTGCTAGCAATGCGTATTCCAAAAGAATGTGAATTTGAGATTTCTTATTGTTCTTCCCAAAACATCAACTCTGTTATCTCCAGTATTCACTAATGACTGCTTGATGATCATTTCTGATTATATCACCAAAGGTGAGTTTGTTACCCTCGGGAACAAGTAAAGCCAGTGCCCACCATAGAGGTTAATACAGAGGACGCCTCGAGAAATATTCAATGAATATTTCTAGAATAGAAATGAACAGATAGAATGCTAACAACTTCTGAAAGTAGAATCACCACTTAGATGATCCTTCGAAACTGGTATTTTCCCATTTTTAAAAAGAATGATCTAGACGTATTGAGGTGGATGTGAAAAGTTAAAAACGATGATTATAAATAAAATATGAGGAATGAATGAATGAATAAAGAACAACTACATCTTAATTCTTAGATTCATAAATTTTCAATATTAACCTAAATACCACAGAATTATCTAGAAACGACTACAATGGCTCTTCTATTAATCAAATAGCTATTTATTTTGCTCCATATTAAGCACGGAGCAGTCTGCTGTGCTCCAGCTCCGTTGTAATTGGAATAATACTTTGACCTACATTTTGTCCGTCATGCACCAGACTCATGATCCCTCCTGCGAGGACAGGTCAATAACGACGGTCAGCCCATCATTGATACATGTTTGTCAGATTTCTCAACCAAACAAATATTTGTCGCTGTTTGATCCTAACATAAAAGTCAAAAGTCTGATTTATCTCAAATCCTAGTTATAGGCTATTAATGATTAAGAGAGACAATGAGACAGATCTTATCTTTTGATAACTATTTTGCAGGCAGAAGTTTAGGAAGAGACATTAACTCTTTCGAGTGAAAAAGAATAGGTCACACACTTAATCAATCTCTGAATTAATTGAGCAGGGTAAAATAACTCATAAGCCACTAATTAAACTCTCTGTCACTGTGATAACTAAAGGATCTCACAATATCAAACGGAAGATATGCGACTATTTTATTGAAATATCAACTTCATTGAATTCAACACATCATCAATTATTAACTTATGCTTTAAAGAAAAATGTAATCATGGATCATATTTTAAACATAAACATTCTACAGATGGCTAATAGTCCACACTTTTAAAACAACTGGAATAAAAACCTGGAACACGGTAATTCATTAAACTAACATGGCAACATGAAAGAGTTAATGCAACTCCCCTGACATCTGCCTTATAACTAGAGAGAAGTTTATTTATCAGAGTACTTTGGCTGAATAAAAATTGTAGAACTTCTGCAGAATTAAATTTTTAAGGAATATCATCTGGAGGAGATAAGATCTTCACTAAAAAGGTAAAGTAGAATCCTTGGGAATAAATAGAAGCTTTTATTTTGCCAGCATTAATTATAGAGGACTTTTTAGATCACTGAATTGTTTACCGGAGTTATAACATTATAACAGCAGAAATCTGTAGAGGAATATTCCATCATGATCACTTATATTTATTAAATGTGGTCTCATCTCTTAACGTTCCTTTCATTCTTTCATCTTGATTCTTTTCATCTCATAAGCATTAATCATTTACCTAACTATAAATAGATTAAATGCTTTTCGGTGTATTTACCTTTTTTCCTTTGAAGTTGAGGGTACCAGGCGGCTCCAGGACCCCATAATACAAGCACATAATGTTGACCTTGGGTCTGTTCCACTGTTAACATAACTTTCCTTTGCTTCTGCCCTCTGTAGCTGTACACTGCCTCTGGAAAAGAAAAAAGGGATATTTTAGTCGGCATTACTTTATCACATGTGATACCATACTTTGTCTAATGATAAATACACGGTGATAACCCAACGGTACATGAAGACAGTCTTGCATCTTAATTTTTTCATAATTGAAAATTGAGGCGCCAAAAATGTTTACCTGTCAGTACAGTGATATCAACAACTCTCACCACTGCGTGGACTAAAATATCGGGCCGAAGGCACGCTAGTTCTACAAATTCTATACTGTTCATTTTCTGAGGCCGCCTCTGAGGAAGATCTTTGAGATAAGAATGTTTCGAAGACACATACGCCAGTAAGTCTTGAAGGACCACATCGCTAACCATACTGGAATCTAAGAAAGAAAAACACACACACATGCAAAAGATAGCAAGATGATATTTTTTTGACAACACGATATTTCCTTAGAACTGTATTTTAGGTTGCAAAGTGTGATTAAATGTAAAACATGATTTCATTTCTACAAAACATGTAGCTTATTCTTGAATCAGTTTAGATGCAAAGATAAGCTTGATAGGGGCTAGCCTGGCGGTGTAGTGGTTAAATTCGTGTGCTCTGCTGGAGCAGACCAGGGTTCGCAGGTTTGGATCCTGGGTACAGACCCACACACTGCTCATCAAGCTATATATAGCACTGTATATGGAGCAGCATCCCATATACAAAAAAACAGAGGAAGATTGGCACAGTTGTCAGCTCAGGGCCAATCTTCCTCACCAAAAATAAAATAGTAACAATAAGCTTGATATTTTTAACCAATAGAAATGGAATTATTTACCATCTCCAAAAAACTTGCTCTGTTCTCTTACTTCTCTATTTTGTTAATAATATCATATCCAATAGGGTCCCCAATCCCTGAAGTCCGACTTGATCACGCTTCCCCAACCATCCCAACCACTGCTACTCTTCGTCAAGATTCTTAGCATTTCCCACCTGAAATACTCTAAGAGTCGCCTAACTGGCTCTTTTCCTGAACGCTCCTTCTTTCCCACCTTTGAGCCTCTGTCCTCACCATTTTCACTGGCTGCAGTGCCGTCATCCTCCTCTCTATCTATCCAAATACTACCGAGAATAAGCACCACTATGGGCTCCCAGTGATTTCTCCTTACCCTGAACCTGGAGAGCTTCGTCTCTCATTGGCATTTGAGCACACTGTAATATTTCTCTTGATTGTTACATTGGTTATTTAATTCTTCAGTCATTATGCCATTTAGATGTCTTTCTCTTTCCCGTCTCAATTTTTTTTCACATTTTTATTGAGATATACTTTACATACAATAAAATGTAGACATTTTAATGTACAGATTGATGAGCTTTACTGATTAGATTTTAATTTCCCTAAAGGAGAGGGAGGTATGTTTGAATATATGTTGATATTCAACGTATATTTGGTTGGTGACCAAAATAAGACCTTAGAAAAAAATACTTAAGCGCTTTTTAGAAAGCAGAGTCTATTAACTGATTGCAGCGGGAAATGTACATAAAGCTTCTTTCAACTGCCTTGTGTAGTGTTTCTGTGTGTTCTCAGGAATGCTTACATGTGTCTCTTATACCCTCAGCCCGGTGTTTGTTGTTGACTATCCCCAGGTTGATAATTCTTTCAGTGGAGGGAATAGTTGAGGTGGCTTCTAGAAAAATGTCTAAGACTTTTCCAGGTAGTAACTGGGGGAGAGGGTATATTTCCAGATGAAGAGAAAGGTATCATGTACAGTTCAGTGGTTTTTTTAGCATTTCACAAAGTTGTACAACTATTACCATTATTTAATTTTAGAAAATTTTTATCATAGAATAATATTTTTAAATGCATAAAATGAAGTGGATTGCAAAACCAATTATATAGAAATATGGTAATCAAAATATTCTTAAAACTGAGAACTCTTGTACCTCATGAATACGTTAAATAACAAGATAGAGTAGAATATGTAACAACTACTGCAATTTCAAAGTAGCAATGGGCATGAACGATATTTAAGTTATCTTCAACAACTGCAATGTGATATGAAAATATAGGTACTTTCTCTCGGTGACCAAGTCAGCGGTACTGTTAATATTACTATCGAGGGTTGCCTTATTCATAATGGAAGGAAATGACAATTTTCAATTAGCAATTAGTGAAAACAAAGATGTAATGTCTTCCCATCCAAGTTTATGGATCTTTAATGTAAAGGAATCAATTTTCACAGAAGAGAGAATAGGAAGAATTTGGGAGGCTAGTCACATCCCACAGAAGGTGACAAGCACTGGAAACCAGGAAGAATGTACGAAGGGGAAATGGTGACAGATCTGTGAAACGGTTCAGAGGAAAAATCCAAATGAACTGTGGACGGTAAAGAGAAGATGGAAGATGACATCAAGATTTCTAGCACAGCTGAGTGGATGGATAAAAACTAACCTTCTAAAGTTTTCAGAACCCGGTACGTACATGAGATCTATTCTAATTAAGATTACTCAAGTCCTCAATGAATCTTATAAAACAATGTTGGTATCCTTAACAAAGATAACGAGCATCAGAGAAAAGAACAGACAGCATGAAAGATGAATGAGAGAAAGAGGGGAAAAGTGGAGATAAGGAGATCAACCAGACTACAGCCAAACCCAACTCTCAACACCTTCCACAGCTCCAGCTGACTCTCCTGACCTCCAGGTTCCTCTTTCACAGTATTTCCAGCACATCTGGAATCAGAAGAGCTAGGTTCAAATTCTGGCTCTGTCAATAATGAGTTCTGGGAACTCATACCTAACTTCTCTGGGCTTCATTCTTTGTCTACAATATAGAGCTTTTGGGGAAAAAAAGAAAAAAAGAACCCTGATATCACATTATTTATTTATCCCTGCTTCGTAAAAATTTGCACAGAAACATCTGATTATTTAGACTACAAATTAAATAGTCTACTTTATGGAAAGATTGTGTTAACCTTTGATTTATATAACTTAATAATACTTAATAATATTTAAGATAAAGTTCTATCCTGTCACATCATCAGGACTAGGTCTGTAAACAGTGTAACACCTCAAGACAATGAGGAAAGAACATAAGTCTTTTCCAAAAGCACAATATATTGATCAGAATTAAGACTGCTCCCATGAGTTGTAACCACTTGCAAAAAGAAAAGAAAAAAAACTAGTGAAACTGGTTTATACCCTGTAGGTAACCGATCTCTTTAGTTTCTGATTTATCCTTCCTGCATTTTTTTGCACAAATGAGAAGTTACATGTGTATTTTCTTGTTCCTCCTCGCTTTTTTACACAGAAGATAGCATACTACATGTACATTTTGGGTTTTGGGTTTTCATGTAACAACATGTCCTGGAAATCACTTCATATCAGTTAATAGAATTCTTTTCCTGTTTTTACAGCTGGATAGCATTCCACTATGTGAATGTAGCAGAATTTAATCAACCACTCTGCTATGTACAGGCGTTTCAATTTTTTCCAATGTCTCACAATTACAAACAACACTGCAATGAACGACCTCGTGCATATGTATTTTCCTATCGTTGTACTTGTATCTTCAGGATAGATTCGTAAAAGCAGGCTTGCTGGGTTGAAAGCTAAGTACACTATGTAATTATTTTAGGTATTGCCAAAAATCCCTCCAGAAGGGTTGTAGCAATTTTTACTCCTACTAGCAACGTATAAGAGAGCCTGTTTCCCCAGAGCCTCACCAACAGAATGTGTTGTCACATTTTTTAATTTTTGCCAATCTGACAGGTGAGAAACGATGTCTCTGTGTAATTTTAATTTGAATTGCTCATGTCTGTTTCCCATTTTCCCATCAGGTCCTTTGTCACTCAATTTTTAAGAATTCTCTCTATATCAGGAATGTTAGCCTTTTGTCTAAGGTGTATGTTGCAAACATTCTCTCCAAGTGTGCCAGTTGTCTTTTGACTTTGTTTATGGTGCTTTTGGTCATTCAAAATTTTATTTTTCTGTATTCAAACTTATCAGTGTCATTTTTTACTGCCTCTGGATTCTGAGTAATAGTAAGTAAGCCTTTCCCTCTGCCGAGACTAAAGAGGAATTCATCCATGTTTCCTTCTAGTATTTATATGGTTTTATTTTTTACATTTAGATTCTTAATTCATTTGGAGCTCTTTCTTCCCTTTGTTGTGAGATATGGATATAATGTTGTCTTTTTCTAAATGGCTACCCAGTTGCCTCAGCATCCTTTATTAAAAAGCTAACCTTCACGTCAGTGACCTCAGATACCATCTTTGCCATAGCCTAAATGATAGGTGTGTGGGTCTGATTCTGGTCTTCTTATTCTAGTCCACTGTCTGTCTGTTTGTGCAGCAGTGTCACACTGTTTTAATGATAGAGCTTTTAGTATGTTTTAATGCATGGTAAGCCTAGTCCCTCATAACTTTTTTCTTTCGGTGTTTTCCTAGTTACTCTTCATCTTTGTTTTTCCCCATGAATGTTGGTATCAAGTTGTAGATGCCATAACCTAGCTTGTTGGTATTCTTACTGAGACTGCATTGAATTTATAAATTAACTTATGGAGAACTGATATCATTGTAACGTTGAGTCATCCTATCCAAGAAGAGGGAATGATGTCTTTCCATTTGTTCACGTCTTTATTTCTCTCTGGTATATGTAAAATTTTTCCTCATATAGGTTTTGCACATTTCTTCTTAAATTTATTCTGAAGTATCTTCTTTATTGCTATTCTAAATGAATTTTTCCCCAACGGAACGCCCTCTATTTAGTGTCTGTGTATATGAAGGCTATTGGGTTTTAACATTTCCAGATAAAGCAAATTTTGTTGTTGTTGTTGTTGTTGTTAACAACTTCTAGTTTTATAGCATTTGATTAGTATGTTTGTAATAATTCTACTTTATAGAAGTTACTGACAATTTTCTTTGTGACCTAATAGGATCAATTTTTCTGAATACATTGTGGGCACTTGAAAAGAACATGTATTTCTATTATTAGAGTCTAAAGTTTGACTTATAGCCATAAGATCTACCCTATGCATAAGATCTACCCCACTCACTATGTTATATAGATCTTGTGTCTCCTTAGTTATATTATGCCTGTTAGATCTGTCTTGTCCCATTAGAAAAATGCAAATTAAAACCATAATGAGATATATATCTGCACACTGATTACAATGGCTAAAATAGAAAATTGGGTAATACCAAATGCTGACAAGGATGTAGAGAAACCAGAAGATACATTGCTGGTAGAAATTTTAAATGGTACAGTCACTCCAGAAAATAGTTTGGCAGTTTCTTATAAAAATAAACATGTACTTACCATACAACCCAGCAATTGTACTCTTAGACATTTATGCCAGAGAACTGAAAATTTATGTTCACACGAAAACCTGGATATAAATTTCACAGCTGCTCTATCCATAATATTCCCCATCAGGAAACAGTTCGAATGTTCTTCAGCAGCTGAATGATTAAGCAAACTCTGGTAGACCCCTACAATGGAATATTAATCAGCACTGAAAAGAAATAGCTACTCATATACTCAACGACTTGGCTGGATCTCAGGGCGTTACGTTTAGTGAAGAAGGTCAATCTCAAAAGATTACTTTTTTTTTTAAAAGATTGGCACCTGAGCTAACATCTGTTGCCAATCTTTTTTCTCTTTTCTTCTTCTCCCCAAAGCCCCCCCAGTACATAGTTGTATACTCTAGTGGTAGGTCCTTCTGGTTCTGTTAGGTGGGACGTCACCTCAGCATGGCCTGATGAGTGGTGCCACGTCCATGCCCAGGATCTGAACTGCTGAAACCCTGGGCTGCCAAAGTGGAGCACGGGACCTTAACCACGCGGCCATGGGGCTGGCCCCCAAAGATTCCATTTATATAACATTTTCAAAGTGACAAAACTGGTGAGATGGAGACCAAGCTAGTGGCTACCAGAGGACGGACGGGGATTGGAGCAGGGGAGGACTACAAAGGGAGCATGACGGAGTTCCTATGTGGCGATGGAACAGTTCTGTATTGTTATTGTGGTGGCATTAACACAAACTTACACAGGGGATCAAACTGCCCAGAACTATACATGCACACGCGCGTGCACACACACACAGGAGCACAGGGAAAGCTGATTAAGGTCTGCAGCCCAGTTAACAGTATTACAGCATGTCACTTTCCTGGTATTGATATTGTACTAAAGCTATATAAGATGTCACCATTGGCAGAAGCTGGACGAAGGGCTCATGGAACTTCATGTACTATTTTTGCAACATCCTGTGAGTCCATAATTATTTCAAAGTTAAAAGTTTTTTTAAATGATAATATAAATGAATATTATCTTTATGCTAATACGATTCTGACATCAATTCTGATATGTTTTTTTTTCCACTCCACCAAGCAATGAACTCAATTCCGACTCTGTCTCCCTGGAGATAGCATCAGATCCCACAGGTTAAGGGCTCTGTTCTACAAGACTGTCCCCCACCCCCATTTCAGATGCCAACAGAAAGTCCACCTGTGCTTCTGACCGATCTCCTCCAGAGCAGAGGTTCCCACAACCTCATCCTCGGGTTCGATCAATTAGCTAGAGCAGCTCACAGAACTCAGAGAAGCATTTATTTACATTTAGCAGGTTCATATAAAGGATACTGTAAAGGGGATAGACGAACAGCCAGATGGAAGAGGTGCATAGGACAAGGTATGTGAGAAGGGACAGGGTGTTTCCATGCTCTCTGGGTGTGCCAGTCTCCCCACATCTCCACGTGTTCAACCACCTGGAAGCTCTCCAAACCCTGTCCTTTGCAGGTTTCATTACATAGGCACGATTGCTTAAATCATCAGCCATCAGTGACTGCATGTTCCAACCCTCCAATCACATGGTTGATTCCCCTGGCAACCAGCTCCCATCATTTACGTGCTTTCCAAAAGTCACCTCATTAACATTAACTCAGGTAAGTTGAAAGGAGTTCATCATGAATATCGAGACACCTACCTTTATTGTTCTTATCACTTAGGAAATTCCAAGGGTTTTAGGAGCTCTGAGCCAGAAATGGGGACGAAGATCAAATATATATATCATATTATAAAGTTCAATATCACAGCTAACAACTCTAAAATTTATGTCTGAATTTTAAACCTTTCCCCTGAATCCTAGACTTTATTTCCAATCTCTATATGACACCTCCACTTGGATGCCTCAAAGATATCTAAAACTGAACATGCCTAAAGCAGAACTCTTAATTTCCCCCATGGACTTGTTCCTTCTGTGTTTCCTAAGGAAGGCTACATAGTTCCTAAACCAGAAGTCCAGGAGTAGTAGATTGCTCCCCTTGGCTCATCCCCAAATCCACACCATCAGAAAATCCTGTGAACTCTATTCACAACTATATCTCAAATCCATCCATTTCTCATCATCTCTACTGGCCTCCCATTATCTCTCAACTGTTACAATAACTTCCTAACTCTGATTCCACTCCATGACCAGGCCTTCACGACCAGAACCATGGTATTCTGTATCTCGGCCCTTCGTGAGTGTCCTTCACAGCATTCATTATCAACTGTAAATATTTTATGTACATGTCTGTTTAGTTTTTTCTGGTCTGTCTTCCACACAGAAATGTGAGCTCCATGAAGGCAGGCACCAGGGGTACACTGCTCACCAGAGCACCCCCAGCTCACAGTGCCTCAAACAATGTAAACACTTAATACATATATGTGGGCAGACGGAGAACTCGACTTTCATAGTTTTATGAGAACATGTCAGGGCTGATTTTCTGCCTTTCCAAACACCACTGATGTCGCCCTGTTGTTATTCTCTTCTGCTTACTCTGCCTCTCTTCGAGAACTCATTATTCACTAGTTGGAATGCCATGCTGTCTCTTCCATCTATGTCATATAACTTTCTTGTGATTCTAAATAATCTCTTGTATAGTCAGTATATTTTCATATACTGATGACTATTTTCCATTACACTTTTTCGGTATTCCATCAAATATATTTTGCTAACTTGTTACTTCCTCCACTAACATTACTATATTGTTATTGTATTATATGCAAGCTCAACACTTTATATTCATTCTCTCATTTAACCTTCACAACCACCCTATAAATTATGCATGGATTCTTATTTCCATTTCACAGATGAGGAGACAGGGGTATAATGAGGTTAAATAACTTGCCTAAAGACACAGACTTGGGAAGAGCTTGGGCCAGGATTCGAATCCTCGTCTGTCTGATTCCAGAGACTATAACTACCAGTTTATACCATCTCCCTTACTTTGTTTTCTTTTTTACTGGAGAAAAAGATAGCTGCTGGTTTCTTCATTCAACAGCTTATCTTAAAGAAGAGAACATGGATGTCAGAAAAGGAAAATAGTTTTTCGTAGTAGTGGTAGAGAGAACAAGGAGTAAAACCACAACTGTCTGACTATAAGACCCAGGCTTTCCCCTTATCTCAAGGATTCTTAAGCAGGGGCTCAGAAATTCTGCAGAACTTTGGAGGTTCATGAAACCACTTGGAATGACAACCAAATTTCGTGTCCATCTACTTAAGTCCATTTTTTGGAGAAATGGCCCATAGCGTCTCAAAGAGGTCTATGACTTCCTAAAAGGTTAAGAACCACCACTATACTGGCTCTCTAAGACAAATAAGAAAATGAAACATGAACCCCAATATTTCTTAAAACAAATATGATTTACAGTATACACATTCATTTTTGTAAGTTCTATTTTCATTCTTACTGAAAAAAATAAACCAATACTCTCCAGCTAACCTGTTTGGAAAACATTTTGTAAAATTACCATTTTAACTCTATTTTTTTCTAATATGTGTATATACTTCAAAACTAAGAAATTATTATATTTAAAATGTGTCTTACATTCCTCAGGCTGGACGGACGAATAACTCCCAAGATTTAATAACTGACTGGTAAATGTTGATTGTAGCACTCTCTCACCAACCCAATGATCGTCGTGAATAGTAACATCTAGAAAGGGGGGAGAAAAGTTCTGGTCATGCCATAAATTCCTTCGCACCGCGGTTAACTTACCAGTCATCGCAGAGCACTATGCGTGCCTCTCACGTGCCAGGCCACTAAGGTTCAAAGAGGTCAAATGATCTACCTAAAGGCACAAAAGGATAAAATAGCAAATCCGAACTCTGAACCCAGGGATGCCTGTCTGCAGGTAGAAGAACAAAATTGCTTCTGCACGTTTAACAGTATCAGTGTGGATGCTCCCCGCTCCACAGAGAACAGCTTAATGGCTTTTCTTCACATAAGGCGAACGTTATAATGTATATGTCTGATAAATTAAATCTTTTAGGGCCAGGAAGCAAAATAGTGGTTCTAAAGCTAGAGAAGACTAAATAATATTCTAGAAGAGTAAATAATATTCAGTATGCATTTCCCCCTCTGCTGTAAACACGGAGGAATATAATACAAGGCATTCTTAAAGGACTTTGATAATTTCTCCCTAAATACCATGCTAATCATCTCCTATAGATGTTAAAAGTGAAAGATTTTGGAGGTAAGGAACACTTCCCAATGGGAAAAAGAGAGCTGTACAACCTAAGATGAATAAAGAAGAATCATTTAGTGGAAGGAAACATACCAACAGGTAGAAATAATTTATTTTTGAGGAATATTAGCCCTGAGCTAACATCCGCCACCAATCCTCCTCTTTTTGCTGAGGAAGACTGGCTGTGAGCTAACATTCGTGCCCATCTTCCTCTATTTTACATATGGGATGCCTGCCACAGCGTGGCTTGATAAGTGGTGTGTAGGTCCACACCCAGGATCCCAACCGGCGGACACCAGGCCACCGAAGCAGAACATGCAAACTTAACTGCCGCGCCACTAGGCCGGCCCCAGAAACAATTTTAAGTACAGCAAAGACTGTAAGTTAGAGACAGAGACACAGACAAATTGATCCCAGGCAGGATGTAATCAGTGTATAAAACGTTAGAGGTATAAAGATATATTAACAGCAGCAAAATAGTTTGGAGATAAGAAAGAAAAACAAGGATGTGTAAATTCCAAGGAATGACTCCCAAATTTATATCCCAGGCCCTCTCCTCAGCTTCAAACCCTTTTACCCATTTATCCACAACTGCCTCATGGACGTTCCGGACCGGATATTCTACTGGCCCCCAGACTCAGCCCTGCGCGCACCTGCCTTTCTCCTCGTATCACCCGTCTCATTTGTTGGCACCATGCTGCAAGCCAGGCAAATTCAGATGTGGTCATCCTGAGCTGCTGCCTCTCCGTCCCCACCTCCACCCACGTCTCACAGTGCTAATGAGTAATTCGTCAAGAACACTAACGTGATCAGTTGACTTGCTGAAAAAACCCTCAGTGGCCCCCACCGCCGGGCCAGGAACAGCGAGCGCAGCTTTCAAGACTGCTCATCCTCTGACATTCAGGACGTCTGCTCTTCCAAAAAGAACAAATAAGGAATTTCAAGGAGAGCCTTCTGAAGATTAGACTGTAAAACCCACGTTCGATCAGTGATATGTGAATTCCTGGTGACGGGGTGGAGAGGAACCGATTACCCAGCCCTGGTGTCCTGGTCCTCCTCTGCCCTCTCACGGACAGGCCCTAGCTCCTCTTCTCTTTGTTCCTTAATCACTGTGGCTCCCTAGTGAAGCTCCAGGTCCTCTCCTCTTCCAACTCTAGTCAGTCAGCTCCCTTAGACGATCCTTATTTACAGCATCTCTTCATTCTATTGCTAAAAGCACAACAGCAAATGTCCGTTGCGTTACGGAATGGAACATGATCTGGAATATAGAATTTTTCCGTTTTGGGGTGTAGATCAGTAGGTCGTATGAGCTATTCAACAGAGAAATATAATAATGCATAATTGGATGCTGTTAGTTAAAATGGGATTTCACCCACAAATTTCTATGTAAATATAATTTCACTACCTAATTAGGACAATGGAAAAGTACAGATTTCTCCTTTTTCCACAAGTTTCCATCTGTTCCATACAAACAAAAGAAACTTATTCAGAAATTGACGAACCAGATATTTTTCCCTAAGGAAATAAGGCAAAATGGGGAAAAAAATCCCCTGATATTTAAAAAAAGGTGTTCATAGAAATAATCTAAACATCCTATCATAGGAAAATGGTTAAGCAGGTTGTGTTAGTCACTTGATAGAACATTACCTAGTTGTTAACAACTATATGGACACCAGGGAAAAACACAGACCCAGCAGTGCTAGTTTCCATCTGCTAGGAAGTGGCATCCTCACACAGTGACAGCGGCTTGCCTTGGTAAAATGACCACGGTCCAGGGTCCAGCTCTCTCTTTCTCATCTAGGGAACCTGATTTTGTCAGCACTCCAAAAACAGATTTCAGATCTGGAACATAAGCTCACACTGAACAAGTTAATGAGACAAACAAATAAACCAGAACATGATATTTTTTTTAAATTTAAAATGAAGCATTAATTGCCAAAGAAACAACCCTTGCAGGCTGTTCTCACCTCGTAGGCATTCTGGAATTGGCCTGGAAAGCCAAATCATTGCAAAGGGCTGCTCAGTGGGCGCTGAATCAGAACAGAGGGGGATCGATGAACTGACTCACCAACATGTGGGATCATATTGCCAGCGGGGACAAGACTACGCTAAGGCCGGTAGTTACAATCCTGTGCTTCTCTCTTTATTCGAGACTGCACCTGACGACCTCACACAGAGAACAAGGGACATTAGCAAAGGCTCTCAGCCCCCAGCAAAGCCTCCGGCAGGAACTACCAACGACCGCCTTCGTGTTTTCTTTTTCTAAGCTTCTAAGGCTGACCCACACCTCTTCTCTATCACTTTCTTTCTTTAGACATGTTATGTAGCTTAATCAACTTCCTCCTGGGCTGGGGTTCATCCTTAAAATGACCGGTATATCTGCTCTAATAAGCTGCGTATTGATTTTAAATCAACAAAGGACACGTAACACAATATTAATTTCTTAGATTGGGTGGAAATGCAGGATAAAAACTGTATGTCCTTTACGACTACAACTCTATACTAAGAGCATGGATTCTGGAGTCTGAGTGAAATCCCGGCTTTGCCACTTCCCAGACGTGTGACGTTGGGCAAGTCACTTCACCTCTCTGAGTCTCAGTTTCCTCAGACTGAAAAATGGGGAGAATAACCAGTACCTTCCTCATAAAGTTGTTGTAATGAGTTGATATACACATACACTAAAACACAAAGCAAGTGCCAAACAGATATCAGCTATTACATAGGTACATACATACGTTTTAAGGGGTGTAGGGAAGACAACTGGAAGGTAACACCCTAAATCTCTACTGGTGGTTCTGTGAGGTTGGTATAATATCAGGAGTTTTTCCTTTCCATACTTCCAAATGTGATTAATTTAATGTTAATAATTAAAAAATGCAGCAGAGGGGGCCAGCCCCATGGCCTAGTGGGTAAGTTGGCACGCTCTGCTTCGGTGCCCTGGGTTCAGTTCCCAGGCACGGACCTAGACCACTGCTGTGGCCACGACCCATATACAAAACAGAGGAAGACTGGCACAGGTGTTAGCTCAGGGTGACTCTTCCTCAGCAAAAAAAAAAAAAAAACACAAACACAGTAGAAATTCTGTGTCTGTTCCCTCAATAAGAATCTAATGTGCACAGCATTATTAGAGATTAAGTAAAGTAGTAGAAACACTGTCCTTTCATCAAAAGACTGCTAAGATAGTTGAGGAAAAAGAGTTAAAAATAAGATGTACATTTACAAAACCATACAAAAACAAAGGAAGCGCCTGATGACATGACCTGAATGCTAACAAAGTGAATGAATAAGAAGGAAGGGTTCTTAAGGAGAAGATGAGTGAAAAGGAGGGACAGAACCGAGGCGGCCAGAACAAAGGCCCAGAACTGGCAACGCACAGGACACTGGGGGATGGTAAGCAGCCCAAGGCGGATGCGAGAAGGGGACCGATCACGCTGGCGCCCAGAGAGGCAGAGGCTAAAGAAAGAGCCCCAAGGGCTTAACATGGGAGGAAGAAAAAGCCTACAGCTTTACAAAATAAACTACCACTATAGCATGAGGACCTTACCTGTGAGTAAAACTATATCTCCAAGAAACACTGTAAATGCCCAAAACGCTGCCGTCCTCCACAGAAAAACCTTCTTCTTGACTTCTGATTGGTCAATCACCGTAATTGTTGCTAAAGGCACTTTAGAGCCAGAATTTGGTCCAGATTTTATATTTATTTCTTTCACATGACATGGAGATAACACCATGACTAGACAATTATACTTCTGACTTTTAGAACCACAATTTTTGATTAATGATGTTTTTTTAACCCCGTGAAATTTAGACACATTCCTCTGGCCCATTTCTACAGGAGGATCTCTTGCATTAGAAACCAACTTCATTTTCTTAGATTCTTGGAGGACCTTAGACAGAGCTTTAGAATGCCCCAGTTTATCTTCAGAGGTCCGATTTCTTTTACCAGAACTTTTGAGGAAGGTATTTCCTTGGGAACACAGTATTCCCGAGCTACAGGACTCAATACATATCTCATCTGGTAGCAGTTTATTTTCAAAAGTGAAAAGTTCTTGGGATCCTGTATTTTCTTCAAGACCTTTATCAGAGTTTATGCGAATGTTGCTACTTTCCGTTTCAGGACAAACAGGACTAAAAAGTTCAAGGGAATATGCTTCGGTTTGTCCACTTTCAGATCCTTCTGCAAAACCATCATTCGGCTTTATCAAATTATCTTCCCTTTTTCTCATTTCCCCGTGACTCGCCTTTGGTTCAATCTCCATGTTTACAATTCCTTTATTTACAGAATTCTGCCCTTTATACTTCCTTTGAGCTAAAAAGGCAACCTGGCTAGAGGTCATTACACTGAGAAATTCAGTATCAGTAGATATGTTGAGGGCTGAGTCCTTCCTCGCTGCTCTTTCAGATCTTGGCTCGTCTACTGTGCTAGAAGGAAAGAATTCCAGACGCTGGGTTTGTCTTTCACGATGTCCTGTTGGCACACGCTTTGTCTCAGCAGCTCCTGGCCCTATGTTAATCTGTTCGGTACCACAGACCAAATCCAGTATAGCTGCACACTTAGGATCCAAGTGAAGGGAATTTTTTGGAAAGTTTTGGCCACATATATTTGACTGATCTTTATGCTGTTCATCTGCGATTTTCTTATTTTCACTGAAAAGCTGTTGACACTTTTCTTCCTCAGTCAAATGCTGAACTCTGCCCTTAAATCCACATATTTGCACATCAGAGTTAGGTATACCACTCATCTCTAACGGGGGAATCTTGTGGGATTTTGTGGTCTCTGTTTCAGAAATACAATGTACAAAGTCATCCTTCACATGAGCAGATCTATTCACAGAGTTTGCTAAAAAATGACCGTTAAGGAGATCTGAAGGGCCAGCAGCGTCTAGGACCTGACAGTCTTCAAGATTTTTGTGCTTGCATTTGTCATCCTTCAGATGTAAAGAATGCTGATTGTATAAAAGCTGAATCTTTTTCCAGGGGTCCGTGGTGGACACTAAAGAAGTGGGCTCCTGTGATACTGTCATTTTCAATGGACCAATTGGAGCACCCCAAAAAATGTGTACTTGAGATCCTCCACTCATGGTTTCTGAAAAAAATGAAAAATTTAAAATGAGCATTTTGTCAGTAGATGTTTATATACTGATATTAACTTAATAATATACCAAAAGCAAATGTAATATAAACTATGAATCAAAAATATAATTAATAGATTTATTTTGGTACTCCATTTAACGATAAAATTCATAAATGTACAAGAAATCATAAGGAGAAATCAAAATATCCACCAAAAAAGCTCACATAAAGACTCTCTTTAAGGAAAATAAAACTAGTATATTAACATCAAATGAGTAAATAAACTTGTATAAACTTACACCATGTAAATGACAAGTTAGGAAAAGGCATTTGTTTAACTGTATTATAGTCACCTTTAAATTTCCTGTTTTCTTTACTCCCTAGATTATTTTAGTAAGTGTAGGGCTTCCTTCCTTCAACTGTGAACTCAATTTCCAAGACCAAAATACAAGGCTCAAACCAGAAGGGAGAGAAAATTTTAAAATTGAGGCTCTCCTCAAAATATACAAGTGACTGTATTATCTATCTTTACTGTAATCTGTTAGCACAATCAATAATTGCTTCCAGATTTTTTAATCTTCTCTAAAATACAAATAGAAAGATTGACTAGTCCTTTGTAATATATAGATAAAAGAATCATTATAATTTAAACTTTTTTTCATTAACTGTGGCACCTGATATAAATAAGCATCAAATTTACTGAGATAAAAATAAAGAATCATACCACAATATACTGGATAATAACTGACTTTCAAAAAGTATTGATTAAATAGATTTATTCCTAGAGTTGGCTGAAAATTTTTTTACAGTGCTACAGGGACAAAAAGACAGATAAGGTTCTTGGCCTAAAGGAACTGTCAGCCTGGTTTTGAAAAAACAAAAAGTAGAGAAAGGTAGTGAATGTAAACTTAACAGTTTCAAAATACATTATGTAACAAATACTATAAACTATAAAAGGGGAAACAATAACGCTACCAGAAGGCGAGCATTGTGGCTAAGAGCATGAGAACAAAAGAAACAGTATCTGTAAAAGGCAGAGTTATGAAAGACGTGGTAACCATTAAGAACTTCTGAATACAGTACAGAGTCCCTTGTGAAAAGGTAAGAAGGTTTCGAATCATGAAAAGTCCGCGTGGATGTATGGGAAGTGTACACAGGAAAGGAGGAACAAACCAAGAAATGACAGCTGTAATCCTCAGGGATTCTTATCATTCCTTGAAGATTTGCTCACTGTCACCTCTTCCAAATCGAATAAGCTCTCCGATTACAATTCTTGTGATTCCAATAGCAATGGGGATGATCTTTCCAATACCCTGGCCTCTTGGTTCCTTGACCTCCTCTCCTCCCCTGATTTTATTCTCCACCTTACATCAGTCATCCATTCTCAGAACCATATACCCTACAATTATCAACAACTGCAGACCCTTCCCTAATTTCAATTTTAAGCTTTTAACTCTCTGACTACTTTCTCCTATCTTCCAACCCACTCCCTCTGGATGCACAGCTCCCACAATCCTCTGACCACGTGGGACCTACCTCGAGCGCATCAATCGTACCACGTTTTACAGCCTCACTCTTCACTTCCCTCCTTAATCAGCTTAGATTCCACGGTCCACTGTTATAATCACTCCCTCTCATACCTCTCTAATTCTACCGCTCTCCTCTCTAAGGCTCTCGCCCAGCTAAATTCGAACACTAGTTGAATCATCATCCACTCTGTACCTGTAGCCCAAAGGCTGGAAGTAACTAGGAATAAAAACATACACCATCATCTGACGACTAGTCTCATTTTGTGTTCATTACCATTAACCTCAAGGTGGCACCTAGCAATCCTATCTTTCCCTATCCATTCACTCTCCAAGATAACTCTTTTATACCTTTTCACTCTTTAAAATCTCCACCATCTCCTCCCCTCTCCTCAAGTGCAGCTGGTGACCATGCTACCATTTCCATTTACAAGTTCTCAACAACATATCTATCAACCACCTCAATCACACCCTATACTTTGCCCACCTTCCTGTTACTCAGGATGACCTGTCCACGCTTCTCTGAAAGGCCATCCCCTTCCCATTACACATTAGGTCTTACTCCCACTTTCCTACTCAGGCTCCAACAATTCTCCCCTTCTCTTGTACATCCCTGATTCCTCTCTCTGTACTGGAGCATCCTCATCAACACTCAAACACGCTGTTAGTTTCTCTCATGCTGGTATTCCTCTCCGCCTATCCCCCTCCACCTAGTGCATCATTTTTCTGCTCCCCTCTACAGCAAAATTCCTTGAAAGAATTGTCTACACTCCCTCTGCTCCTGTTTTCTCTTAAACCCACTCCAGTTCAGCTTTGGTCAAAACCACTCCACTGAGACAGCGTATTTCAAGGCCTCTAATAAACCCCCTCATTGCCCTCCGTCAACCCTCCACTTTCAGCATACTCAGCCTATCAGCATACTTTGCCACTGCTGACCACTCCTTCCTTCTGGAACACTCTTTCATTTGGCTTCAGGGACACCCCATCCTCTTGATTCCCATTTTCCTCATACTACTTCCCCGGTTGCTCCTTCTCGGTCTCCTTTGCTGGCTCCTCATCTCAACATCTTGCTCAAGGGCCAAGTACTGGATCTCTCTCTCAACTCACTCCCTAGATGATTTCATTCAGTCCCAGGGCTCTAAAACCTCTATCCGCTAATGACGACCACACGTACATTTCCATCACGTCCTCCCCTCTCAACGCCTGAATCCTTATCCAACTTTCTACTTACTCCTCCTCACCACAAAAACAGACACCTTTGCAGAAATGAGTTAACATAGAAGGCCTGAGACTACTGTCTTAAAGAGGCCTGCTTGTAGGGTGGGCCCTTAGCTGCAATCTGTGAATTTAGATTTCATGAGGGTTCCCACCACTCCTTGCTAAGAATGGCTCTCTGTACCTAAACTGTCTATGTAGACAATGTTATGATAAACACTTGCTTTCCTTCTGAGAGACTGGAATTCTGGTATGTGCTAGGCAGAGGGCAGCTGTGTGACCAGGACACCTTAGAGAAATGGCTGGTTCCAGGTCTGGAGCAGGAAATGTATATGATGAACTGGAAACACCTCTTCATACCAGAAAGCAAAAAAACTATGCAAGACTACTGGGTTTTTGTGTCAAAAGAACTCAGGAGCCAACTTAAGAGGCTCCCACTGGACAAAATTGGGCAATCTGAGCATCAATAAGGATGATTATGGTAATGAACTGGAGCACATCAAATATGTTTAAATCCATGAGTTCATACAGATAAAAACAGACTCAGTCAATGATTGCCTTTGGAGGATACCGGATGACTAAATAATTGTTTTAAAAATTGGTGAATGAAAGGAAAGAAAATTTATCCTTTCTTTACTGACAGTATCTCAGGACGATCAACTATTTAATGAGAGGAAGTCTCTCCTTATGGAGGTATTCTGCTAATAAACAGCAACAACAAAAGGAATGATGGAATAGCACCATTTTGCAGCTCCTAATGAATTAGTGGATTTCCTAGGCAATGATCATTAATGATCATTAATGATCACAAGGTAGATGTTATAAGGAAGAACGGAGGGTATCTGTAGATTGAGACCAATTCACAACGTATGGACCTTATTTAGATCCTAATTTGAAGACACAAGTGTAAAAATATTTTAAGATAATTGGAGAAACAAATGTAACAGATACTTTATAACATAAAGGGACTATTGCTATTTTTTAGTGGGATAATGTTACTGAGGCTCTGTTTGAAAGAGCTCTGTGCTGGAGATGCATAATGAGCGCTTGCAGATAAAATGGTGTGACGTCTCAGATTTCTCTAGAACACTGGGAGGGGAGAAGGAGTGCGGGTGTAGAGGAAAGAAGATGGGCCACCTGTTGACAACCGTTGAAGCAGGTGATGCCACACAGAGAGTTCACTCCACTCATCTCTATACTTTTCACGTTTTAAATATCCTACAGTACAAGTCTTCTTTTTGGTGTTGTTTCTAAGAAATACTATTTCATACTCAAAGAACTGGGAAAAGATTTAAGCAGTGTAATGATACTCTTAGACTGATTGGTAGAACAGTAAATCGGCATACCACCTTGAAGAATAATTTGGTAAAGCTGAGGATGCACATGGCACACGACCAAATAATTCCACTCCCAAGTTTCCACCCTGGAGAACTCTCGTACATACATACACAAGAAAACACGTACAGGAACGACCATGGGCGACTTCATAGGCAAAAAACTTAGAACCTAAAAGTCCATGAAGAGGACAATGGATAAATCATGGAATATTCAGAGAAAGACTATTATATGGCAGCAAAAATAAAGGACCAAGAGTTACATGTCAACTTGGTTACCTCTTACAAACATAATTTCAAGTAAAAGAAGCAATCTGAAGAATATATAACTTATGACAGCAATATATTGAGTTTTTAAATATGCTTGAGAATAAAACACCAGCTTCAGGATTGTGGTCACCTCTGGGAGCGAGGAAGGGGAGGTGATAGGCAAAGGGCACACAAAGAGCTTCAAAGGTACTGAACACATTTTATTTTCTGCAACTAGGTGTGTCTACAGAGGTGTTTCTTATACTGTTCAGAAATATTTTATAATATAAAAATGTCCTAGAAAGAAAAACACTGAGGGGGCCGGCCCCGTGGCCGAGTGGTTACGTTCCTGCACTCGGCTTCGGTGGCCCAGGGTTTCACGGGTTCGGATCCTGGGCGCGGACATGGCACCACCTGTCAAGCCATGCTGAGGCAGCATCCCACGTGCCACAACTACAAGGACCCACAACTAAAATACACAACTATGTACCAAGGGGCTTTGGGGAGAAAAAGCAGAAAAAAAAGAAAAAAGAAGAAGAAAACTGGCAACAGTTCTTAGCTCAGGTGCCAATCTTAAAAAAAAAAAATACTGAGAAGCAAGATTAAGGACAAATTTTTTAAGGTTTCTATATTTTAAAAGTTTTCTTGTGATGCATAATGAATGTGTACTATTTTCCTAATAATCAAAT